CTCTTCAAAAAGCTGCAACATTGCAATGTTCTGAAACAATATCATAATAATGGGAGTCTATTACAATGGTAATGAAAGAGATGGTTTCCAACATTCAACTTCTCAGAGAAAAGTAGAGAATTACATTTCAGAAGGATTCACCTCAAAAAACTAATAACAATAACCCAACCCAAGTATCAGGAACAATTACTTTCTTTTTATTACATTTTTATTATTATACTTTAGGTACTGGGGTATATGTGCAGAATGTGTAGATTTGTTACGTACGTATACACATTCCATTGTGGTTTGCTGCATCCATCACCCTGTCATCTATATTAGGTATTTCTCCTAAAGTTATCCCTGCCTTATCCCCCCACCCCCTAGTCTCTCAACCCCTCCACTAGCCTCAGTGTGTGATTTTCCCCTCCCTGTGCACATGTGTTCGCATTGTTCAACACCCACTTATGAGTGAGAACATGCGGTGTTTGGTTTTCTGTTCTTGTGTCAGTTTGCTGAGAATGATGGTTTCCAGTTTTTCCATGTCCCTGCAAAGGACATAAATGCGTCCTTTTTTATGGCTGCATAGTATTCCATGGTGCATATATGCCACATTTTCATTATCCAGTCTATCACTGATAGGCATTTGGGTTGGTTCCAAGTCTTTGATATTGTAAACAGTGCTGTAATGAACATATGTATGCATGTATCTTTATAATAGAATAACTGATCAACCTGGTACATATCGAGTGATGAGATTGCATGGGTCAAATGGTATCTCTATTTCTAGGTCCTTGAGGAATTGCCACACTGTCTTCCACAATGGTTGAACTAATTTACACTCCCACCAACAGTGTAAAAGTGAGGAACACTTCTAAAGAAAAGCTCATCAAGTGTTTGTGATGGACCGTAGAGATTCAACTGTTCTCAGGCATGAATGTGTGATTAATTAAAAGGACTTTAGGGTATTAAGAAAAGCAAATTTGGCACTGTTTTGGCTTCAAGTAATTTCTTTTTGTGACACTCCATGTAAATAGTATTGAAATCAATATCTCATGGGACTATTTTTGATAATCTCCCTCTGGCCACCTTCCATCCGTAATTCTCTATTTGTTTTAATTAATAACACTGCTGTGAGGCAGATGCCTCTAAAAGAGGTTTCTGACATCTTATAAGAATCCATCCACTCCCTGCCAATGCCAAAGAGGGTGAGACGGAAAGAGCAGAACTGTGCTGCTGAATTCCCTGTGACTATTTCAGATGGCACTGGTTTCATGGAGAGAAGATTGCACACTATGTAAAGTAACTCTTCACTTTATTCCACTAAAATAACAGAGATGAGGCTTTGTTTTTAGGAGATGCTCTATTGAAGTTTTCCTTATGTTTGGAAAACTCTGCCTCTACCTTGAAAGCTCTCTCTCTCTTTCCCCCCCGCCCCCACAGAGAGGCTCTCCTATTTTTACAAACTGCCCTGGCCTTCTCGCCGCCGCAGCCACCTCCCGCCGCTTTTGCCTTATCAGCACTCCCCCTGCCGCTTATGCCTCCTCAGCACTCCCCAGTTTCCCGCCGCCCGCCCGGTTTCTGCCTCATCAGCTCTCCCCGGCTTCCCGCCGCCCGGCTTCCCGCCTAGCAGTTCAAACTGGCCAACAGCTGCCCACCACCTAGACCCCAACTCTTCCTCTCCTCCAGCCCTTCTACCCTTATAAGACAACTCTGCCCCTCTGGGCGGCGCGGCCATTTTTCCTTTTCGTCCCGGCTGGCCCGCCCGGAGGCTCTTTCCTCTCAATAAAGCCTGAACTTAAGGAATTTCCTCTAGCCTGCGGTCCGGTTTTTTTCCGAACGAGCTCAGTCTTCCCGCAGAGGGTAGGTCGCACACCTTATATTCAAACTAAAATGTCATGGAAGCTCAGAGTCCTTAGAGAGGGAAGGGAAAGGAGAGCTGAGAAAAGGTGAGAATATAGAAGCCTAACTGAGGATCCAAGGAGGGCAGTTCAGCTGCTGAAATTTGACTGTTGGGGAGTCATAATCCATAAGTGAGAGACCAAGGTGTTGTTTTACTCTAGGGCAGTAAGGATAAATTATACATCTTAAAGCAAGTTAGGGAGAATTTGGAAGTGGAACATGTTTAATTGGAACAGTTAAATGTCTTTTGGATATACAGGACAAATCAATGAGATATATTTCTTACTGGAATGTGTAGTCTACCACAAGATAAAATAAAATCAGGATGAGAATACCTGGAAAATGAGTCAGTTGACAAATACTAGAATTAATATTTACATAGGGCGATACACTTTTCTTCTCCAACTTTCAAGATAATGGCACCTACTCTTCAATTCTACATGAGCCCCACTGGGTAGTATGACCCCCAAAACCTTCTGTACATCAAAGTTTAAAATGAATCCTAGATTACTAGTAAGTTTTATGCCTTTTCCTGGGGATTACCAACTATAGGCTGCTGTAGGAATCTCTAAACTATTAATTTATTTGTTTAAACAAAATTTGCTATGTGCCTTTTATTTCCAAACAAAGGTGAACTATCCTTATGCAGATATGTGAAGGGTGAAATCCCAATATGAAAGGTATTTAAACTCAAATTTAGTGAAAGAAAACAGTTGGAAGATAATATGAATTTATATGTGGCACTTTTCATAAAGAGGAATTAAGCAATACATTCAGTGGGGATTTTATGGCTGGAAAAAAATCTGATTATTTAAAATAGTCATGGGATTATTTTTATAAATTGTTGAATACGAAGTATCTTTTAAGTGTGGATTTAATTAGCATTGGCTAAGATGAAGCATGATCACAGTTGAGATAATATTAAAAGGTGTACACACATTTTGATGTGAGAATGAGTAATATATCTAGTGTAATAAAACAACCAATCTAACTAGAGAGTGAGTAGAAAAAATTAAATTAATTGAATTTGAAAAAGACCAGAAATATAGGCAGAAAACATATTTAAAACTGAAGCACACAGCAATATAGACTAAGTATACATTTGACCTTTACATTAGTTGTTGCAGTCTTCTTAATGGTGGTTTTGCTGCTGATAGTGGTTGTAGCAATTGCAACAGTGATTGAAAAAAAAAAAAAAAAACAGAGGAGAAAGATGAATACAAGGAAGTGAATTCCAAGAAGTGAATGCCAACATATTCTGGAAGAAAGTTGAAGCCAAGGGAGAGCTGGTTATGTGTGCATATATGAACCTGTAGTATATTTTATATTTCTGTTTAAAAGATGTGCATGGTGTATTGTAGTGGGTAAGAAGTTTATGTTTAGAATGGAGTTGTCTCAGAGTGGCAAAAAGTAATGTGTTCAGTGACTGCGTGGGCAGAGTTTATGGTGTGATTAGATGTTCTATTATATTATTCACAATAATTTTGTTTTTCTATTTTTAAAAAAACATGAATGACTCTGATACTTCACATGTACAGCTGAAAATAAATTGTGTAATGTTAATTCTTTCACTTAGTATTCGAAGTCCCTAAGCAGTTGAACTCCTTATAAAGGGCTATACATGTTAGTTATGACTCTTGCTCCTCTAAAAGAACATGTTTTGTAAAATTCTCTTACTAGTCATATCATGAAAGAATGTAGTAATTTTCAGTAAACATTCAGTGCCAAGAATGTATGAATGGAAGACTAAACAAGCATAGGTCTACACATCAATAGATGGAAAGATACAAATTCCTCTTGGGTCTGTGTTTTAAAGGTATATTAACATCTATGGAAAGATTATTTTCTTTTATTTAATATTCATGTGGTTTTAAAACAGTAGAGAAGTTCTAATTTTGGCTGAGAAAAAAAAAAAAAGAATAATCTCTTGTTCTAATCCTCCCTGCTGTTAGCCTTTTTTCTGAGATGGAGTCCTGCATTAATTTCTGTTCAAATTTTGTTCTGGTGTTTTTATTTTGGTCTATATTTTTAAATTATATGATTTTACTAAAGGTATTTATTTGGATTTCATGCTCCTCTAGGTAAGAGTTTAGCTCAGTTTTATTATCTTCATTTCTACTCCATCCTTGTTTCCAAATGTAGCTCAATTAGTAGTTTCTGTTTCTGCATGGCAATTTGTCATTTTAAACAGAATACTGAAATCTAAATGTATTCAACCAGTCACAGATGTCCTCCTCTCTTCTTTGTAACTTAACACCATTTCCCCTAATTATGCTATTTTTAAGACAGTTACCAAGATATTTAATGTTACCTAAGGTACGATATTTATATTTTGAAATGGATATATTTCAAATTTTTTCAATAAATTATTTGTTGATCTGTAATACAATTTTAGATCCAGTAGAAAAGTAATGTCAATACCGACTTCAATGGTTTATCACTCTATTGTATTTTGATGAGCAGATTCCTTTGAAAATATCAGCATGTCATTTTAAAAGAAAGCATTAACTAAAGAGAAACTTATTTTAAGAATAATTGGTATCCCATGAAGTTGGAAAAAAATGACTTGGGTTTTATGTGGGTTATTGAAATATTTTAAACTTTATTTCTGCATGTAGAAATACCTAGAAAAATTCTCATGTTTCCAGGTCCCTGAATATGTACAAGTATGATGTTTATGCCTAACAAAGTGCTGGAAAGTCTTTTGAAGATTCACCAAAGATGACTGAAAGAAAATGCTGGTGAGAATGTAATTTAATTAAATTATCAAGACAGAAAATATGTTCTGAGAATAAAATTTTTCTAGGAATTTGGATAACGAGAAAATTATGTACTTAATTTTCATTTTCACTAGATTGACAACTGAGTGTTTTTGGCCAATATAATTCCACTAGCTCTTACATTTTGCTAGCAGTTATCCATTGACTAAACACTAGATAGGTATTCTGATGGAATTAAAACTTTTTAAGGATTAATTCCTTGATGTAAATTGCCTAGAGTAAATGCTGCCCCAGGAATGTTGGCCATATTAGTTGTAGCTACCTTACAACTTACAATTTTATTTATCCTAATAGAAAAATTTGGAAACTGATCTGGGCTGCATTGCAATAAATATGCATATGGAACCTATAAACAGTATCTGGTTTCAGCCACATATTCTCTTTCTAGCAGGCATCCCTGGACTGGAGTCTGTACAAACATGTATCTCTATCCCGCTGTGTGTCATGTACCTCACTGCCATCCTAGGAAATTGCACCATCCTCCTTGTCATCAAAACCACCTCCAGCCTTCATGAGCCTCAGTACATCTTTCTGTCCATGTTGGCAGCTACAGATTTGGGTCTGTCTTTGTCAACTCTACCTACAGTACTCAATGTCTTCCTCCTGAATCACAGGGAGATTGAGTTCCACTTTTGTCTGACACAGATGTTCTTCATCCACATCTTCTCCTGCATGGAATCAGCCATCCTGCTGGCCATGGCCTTTGACCGGTTTGTAGCTATTCGCAACCCACTGCACTACACCATGGTTTTAACTCCTGCCAGGATTATTCAGATGGGGCTTACAGCTGTGGTTAGGAGTGTGATGTTGATGGTACCCTTGCCAATCCTCCTCAAGCGACTGCCCTTCTGCAAAGATTTCATTCTGTCCCACTGTTACTGCTACCACCCTGATGTGATGAAGCTGGCCTGTGGCCCTGTCAGAGTCAACATGATCTATGGATTGTCCCTTGTCATCTGCTCCTTTGGAGTTGACTCTGTGTTCATTTTCATTTCATACATCTTGATTTTGAAAACAGTGTTGGGTATTGCCTCAAAAAGTGGTCAGCTCAAGACACTTAATACCTGTGTTTCCCACATCTTCACTGTCTTCATTTTCTATGTGCCACTCATTGTGCTGGCCCTAATTCATAGGTTTGGTAAATTCACATCTCCTGTTCTCCATGTCACCATGGCCAATCTCTTCCTTTTCTTGACTCCTGTCCTTAATCCTTTGGTTTATAGCCTGAAAGCCAGACAGATAAGGTCAGCAGTGCATAAGATATTCAATGGCAGGAGAAATTTGCTCAAGTAGTAAAGTATTGCCCTGCTGAAAAAGGTACTCTGTCTCTTTCTTCCCCTTTCATCTGTCTGCTTCTCTCTGGGGAATATGTCATCACTTCAAGAGACAGTCTTATGAGAATGACATATTTTCTTCTTATCTGCCAAGAAGACGATAATAGACTTAGTTGTTGTCTAAGAAGGTAAATTTCCAAATATCGCACTTTACCACATTGTGAAGAGAGAGTAGGTATATGTGGAAATTGGTGTGGAATATATGCATTTTTATAGTTTAAAGAAAATATGGAATATGTAAATTTAAATACTGTGGAAACAAGATAGTTAACAATAGTTTTCTGGAAAACAACAATGAAACTAGAATATATCAACAGAAAAGAAATAAGTTTCCTGTCTTTTTGTACCCCAAACTTCAGCATCATGAAATATACCAATACAAAAAAACACCTGTACCCCTACCTATTGCATCTAAAATAAAAGTTGAAATTTAAAGCAAAGAAAAAAAATCAAACAAACAAACAAAACTCAAATTATTTTTTCAAAGAATCATCCACTACCACAAGGGACACATCTAAAAATTAGGGAAGGCATACAGGATTATTTTAGTGTCCACTAGACGTTAGAAATTCAAAGTTGATTATTTTGTAAAATTTGGTAATTTCATTGAAAGTTGATCTATCGTATGATGTATGAATGAATAAACAAAATTGTCAGCCAGAAAATGGAATGAAGTACTGATAGCCACAACACAGATGATCTTCAAGAACATTGGGCTAAGTGAAGGAATCCAGGTACAAAAAGCCACCTATTACATAATTAGGTTTATGTGCAATACTTAAAATGTCTTAAAACCTATAGAGACGGAAAGTTGATTGGTAGTTGCTAGATGCTGGGTGGAGACAGGAATGATGAGTAGCTGCTTAAGGAGTATGAGGTTTTATTTTGATGTCATAAATATATTCTGTGACTAGATAAAAGTGGTAGCTTATAAAACACTGCGAATGTATTTCATTCCACAGAATTATTCATCTTAAGGTTATTAAATTATGTAAATTTTTTCCTCAATAAAAAGTTGTGAAATGCACCATATTAAATAAGATTAAGAAAAATGACAACAAAATGGAATGTTTGATCCTAGAGTGAATCCTGATGGGGGCAAAAAGCTCTTAAAGAATCTTATTGGTACATTGACAAAATGAAAACACAAATGGGAAATTAGATGCAAACATTTTGTAGTTATGTAAGGGGATATCTTTATTCTTAGAAAGAAACACACTGAACTGTTTAAGAGTAAATGTCATGATGTATGCAACCTCCACTCACATGGCTAAGAAAAAATTTGTGTGTTGAGGGGAGAGTGGGAAGATATAGAGAGAAAGAACTCATAAGAGCCAGTACTCTAGTGCATGAATACAAATGTTAGAGAAAGTGAAATAAAATTTTAACAATTAATTAATTACAGTAAAGGCGATATGGCAGCCTTTACTAGATAAAAGTGGTAGCTTGGAAAACACTGTAAGTATATTGAGTTCCACATAATTATTCCTTAAGGTCATTAATTTACAAGAATAAGAATAGTATATATTCAATAAAACTAGAATGTATTCAAGAATACTATTGTATTCTTATTCTTGTAAATTTTCTGTAAGTTTTAAATTATTTCCAAAGAAATCCTAAAAAAAATCCATGTATCCATGGTCCACTTTAAAATATAGCAGCATAAATACAGTTGAAACACCCTCCATATACCCACTCCTCCCAGAGAAAGCACCATATGAATTTGGTGTTTGTTACCCCCAAACATATGTTTATACATTGACTGCATATTTATATATACCTAAGCACTGTATCTGCATAAACAACTCTCTAAATATGTTGAGTGAAGATAGAAGGTAAACAAATAAAATAGGGTTAGCAGTGATATAACAAGGATTATATAGTATGATAGCATTTACATAATATTTAAAACCATGCAAAATATTAGGGTCCAGGTGCCTCTCCCAGGACTCCATATCTACAATTCCTTGGCACAAGCCAGGCCAGGTCTTCTTCATTTGAAAGTATACATTGTAAAGCACAGATATGTTTAACTGTTTGAAGAGGGAGCAATTATGTCTAGTGGATGTTTGGATAGATAACCTGAGTGCACATTCAGAGGAGACATAATAGAACCTGCTCATGTATAGAGAGGAAGTAAGTGGACATGTGAAAAGAAAGGTCTTTGTATTTATGTAAGAAAATTGCAGAGACAATAATCCTGATTGAGCCAACAGTCCCACAAGTAGTATGTCTTGATTTTTCTCTCTTTCCTTCATTTACTACAATGTGCATTCCACAACAGTAGGAATGTTTTTCTCCTGTTCATACATTTATTTCTAGTGTTTGCATAAAAGCCTGGCACATAGAGCATGGAAATAAATATGTATTGCCTGATTTTAACAACTTTCATTATGCCCGTAAACCACTAGCCATTTTTCCTTCCTTTTTCACATCTTCATTTTTTTTTTCTTTTTTTTTTTTTTGAGACGGAGTTTCACTCTTGTTACGCAGGCTGCAGTGCAATGGCGCGATCTTGGCTCACCACAACCTCCGCCTCCTGGGTTCAGGCGATTCTCCTGCCTCAGCCTCCCGAGTGGCTGGGATTACAGGCGCACGCCACCATGCCCAGCTAATTTTTGTATCTTTAGTAGAGACGGGGTTTCGCCATTTTGACCAGGATGATCTCGATCTCTTGACCTCGTGATCCACCCGCCTCGGCCTCCCACAGTGCTGGGATTACAGGCTTGAGCCACCGCGCCCGGCCCTTCTTCATTTTTATAACTTCTTAGAGGCTCACATTTGCTAGAATGAAGAGCTATAAAAATAATTCAGCAAATTTCTTTGGGTTTTACTTGTGTCTACTTAGGGAGTTAGAAAAGTAAATGGTGATACAGAGTGTATACCATGATAGAGGTAAGATCAGAGTCCTATGGAACTCCTTACTTTTAAAGTCTTTTTTAGTCGTCTCCTTTCATACATTCTATACATTAGGCTTTAAAAGTTAAGAAAAGTTTACTGCAGGTACTGAGATGAGAAAAAGAGTGAAATATGAAATGAGAAAATGAGTAAAACTCACATAAAATAGTAATCGGTCAGACAAAAGTGGATTGGGTACATTAAGCAAAGTTAGCAGCATATACTAAGACATGGGACAAAAACAGGGTGGAGGAAGTATAAGTAACAGAACACAACAATAGCAGATACTCTTGAGGGAGGCCGAGGAAAGACAATGGCCAGGAGTAGATATCAGAATTTTAATCAAGGTTTTACATTTAATTAACAGATCAACATTAATTTGTATATTTAGTATATTTGTTAAAATTAATTTTCAGCCAATTTTATATTTCTCAGGGCACTGAAATGCTCTGCATGGAATAGGTGGATGCCCACCATCATACTACTACTCACAATAACCAGGGTCAACCTGAAGATCTGCTGGGAAATCATTTTACATACATTTAAAAAAATTATTCAGCAATCTGCTTTTATTAGAGTTTTTATTTTTAAATCCCCTTAAATAAAGAGTATTTTAGTTTGCTATTTTATTTATATATTTATGAATCTCTTCCTATTTTTCTCTTTCTCTATGTCACACATATGCAGCCTGTATGCACGTGCATGCACACACAAACACACACACATACCCCCAATGCTAAAGATGTGGGTTGGGGGAAACAAAGTGATTTTTTCAATTCTCACGCAGTCACTCAATACAGAACAGAACACTCTGACACCAGATATCTAAGGGTTTTTCTCAGCACAACTAGCAATTCTGTAGTGAACACCAACTGGATGTTCCCTAATTCAATTCAATTCTGACACTATCCACTTGGAGATAGTATAAAGTCTTAAAGGTTAAAGGGTTCAGTTCCATAAGATTATCACCACTTAGGGGTTATAGGACCAATAAAGTTGCAGTCATTGAAGCCGTGATTAAAATTTTAGATATAACAAAAGGTTTAACTCCACTAATCTTCTCAGAGAAGGATGAAACTCACATAACAGGTAAAGAGAGCAGCAATTACAAAAAGTATCTGCCTTAACATGTGTTGTTCAGAGGACTGAAAGTTGTTTAGTAAAACTGCAGTGTGGAAGAAATGGTAGACTGGTCAGACACGGACCTTGCATATCAAATACGTTAGGATAAGTTTATCATATCCAACGAAGATTCGAAATAAAGATTCAATGTGGGCCAGGCAGAATGGCTTGCACCTGTAATCTCAGCACTTCGGAAGGCTGAGGTGAGAGGATCACTTGAGCCCAGGAGCTCCAGACCAGCCTGGACAACAAAGTGAGAGCCTTTCTCAACAAAAATTTAAAAATTAGCTGGACATGATAGCACACATCTGTTGTCCCCACTATCTGGGAAGTTAAGGTGGGAGAATAACTTGATCCCAAGAGTGATGAGGTTGTAGTGAATTGTGTTCAAACCACTGCACTCCAGCCTGGGTGGCACAGTGAGAGCCTGTCTCAAAAATAAAAAATGCTTCGGCTGGGCACAGTGGCTCTTGCCTGTAACCCCAGCATTTCGGGAGGCCAAGGTGGGTAGATCAGGTCAAGAGATCGAGACCAACCTGGTCAACATGGTGAAACACCATCTCCACTAAAAACACAAAAATTAGCCAGATGTGGTGACGGGTTCCTGTAGTCTCAGCTACTTGTGAGGCTGAGATAGGAGAATTGCTTGAATCCAGGAGGTGGAGGTTGCATGGGCCGAAATTGCACCACTGCACTCTAGCCTGGTGACAGAGCAAGACTCCATCAAAAAAAAAAAAGCTTCAACATGAACTTATTTGTTTATATTTGTGTAGCAAAGATTATTCAGCAATGTAAATCATAGTTTGATCATGGGGTAATACAATATGAAGAAAACTCTGTTATTAAAATAGAAAAAAAGAAAAATTAAAAGCTTGAGTTAGCGAAAGGACTTACAAATGAGTGAACACATTTGTTATGTGTTTAGGTTCATGGTATAATGAAGACATACCCACTGAAAAATAGTTGCACCATGGCCAGGATCGGTGACTCATGTCTGTAATCCCAGCACTTTAGGAGGCTAAGGTGAGCAAATAGCTTGAGTCCAGGAGTTTGAGATCAGCTTGGGTGACATGGAAAAATCCTGCATCTACAAAAAATAGAAAAATTAGAAATTAGCTAGGTGTGGTCGAGGTGGAAGAATTGCTTGAGTCTAGGAGGCAGAGATAACAGTGAGCTGAGAGCCTCTCACCACACTCTGGATGGAGCAACAGAGTCAGATCCCATTTCGAGAGAGAGCAAGAAAGAGAGAAAGACAGAAAGAAAAATAGTTGCACCATAAGTATTTAATTAATTCTATGTTAGGAATAGGACTAAATTACCTTGGAAAGGATTCACTCTGTCATTGGAGGCTAGGAATGGCTTCACAGAAATGGTGATGTTTATTTGCTTTTGTAACTTGAACTCTGTAACCTTTTTAGCTACTTTCTCTTTTTATTCTTTAACCTTTTTATCTTTAAAGATAAAATAACCTTTTATCTTTACCTATTGGCTGCTTTTATTTGTTAGTAAACACATTGCATTAGTCACTGCTGCTCGTTTCCATGAAATTCTTATCAAATATTAGCATATCTTGAATGTAATTTCATTTTGGAATCATTATATATACAATATATATTATGTAATATATATAATATATGTAATATATAATATAATATATAATATATATGGATATAATATATATTATGTAATATATATATATTAGATTTACTAGCTCCTCCTTTCTAAGACTACTATTTATTTCCTCATTTGTATACTCAGAATACTGCCTGAGTGCTCATATAAATTAGTCTCTTTATATTTATAAATTTTTATTCTTTAAAAAGTCAAATCGCTACCTCTTAAAAATAGTTTTTAATTACCCAATGATACAAGTCATTTTAGTAGCCTTTTATAAAACTCCATTTATGTTCTGATATTCCAGAATTATTATTACAAGCCCTGATTATTCATAGAATTTCTTAACCAAAGAAACTCACATTATGTTGCCTTATCTACTTCAAATGGGAGATGCTGAAAATATTGAGTAGTAGACATAGATCTATAAAAATCTGGATTAAGGCTACTTTAAGACTATTTAGTTATTACTAAATACTGCTTGCTTATATAACTGACTTTATTCTACCTATAAAGAGCTGACAGAGTCATAGATAAAGCAGATACTAACAAATATTTGTCTAGGACTTAATTTAAAATGCATGCCAATTGTATTTTATGTGATAGACCTAAGACAGTATTGTGTGATTCAGAAAAGAAAGAAATCTTACAAAGAATAAACAAGTGCATGAAAACAAAGAAAAATAAAGTCCAATTGAAATAGGCAAATAACTTGGAGAGGAGGTAAAAAATGTGGAATGTGCAAAACAGTTCCGATTCCACTTGGTTTGTTTAGTTTCTCTTGACTAAACTTAATGTTTTGCAAAGTTTGGTTATTTTAACCAGTATATACCTTTTGGGATCTTATCCTTTGGGAAAAGTGAAGGAAACAGCTGCAATAACTAAGAATAAATGACTTAATCTCATATTCTCTTGAGGATGATGCCACCTATAGCAGTGGTACACAACTGTGATCATACACTGTCTTCCTTTAGGAATGAACAGAGACTCCCAGATGTCTAGACTAAAACCTAACTCCCATGTGCCAGGTAACATTACTGTTTCTTCATAAAACTCCCTAGTCTTTTGTTATTCCTAGTCACTAGCACTGGAAATTCCATGTCTAGACAACAGGGTTTTGGCGCTAAAGGGTAAGCAATAAGGTCTCTATTTTGCTGAATTTATGCAAATTACAGAAATTGTATTATATTTTATTTTCTTCCTAAAAGCAGACAAACATTACTAAAAATCAGGGAATCACAAACCTATGTAATTTGCATTTTTCTAGAAGTGTTTTCAATCCTCTATTAATGTCTATCTCTAGCTCAAACTTCAATAGTTCCAGATTTGTTCTCACTGGTTTTCCTGGCCTAGAAGTTCACTATCCCTGGCTCTGCATTCCTTTCTCCTCCATCTATGCTCTGGTGTTCCTGGGAAACTGCATGGTGCTCCATGTGATCCGGACTGAATCAAGCCTACACCAGCCTATGTTCTATTTTCTGGCCATGCTGGCCCTCACTGACCTGTGTATGGGGTTTTCTACTGTGTACACAGTGCTGGGGATCCTGCTGGGGTTAATTCAAGAGATCAGCCTGGATTCCTGCATTGCCCAGTCTTATTTCATCCATGGTCTGTCCTTCATGGAGTCCTCTGTCCTCCTCGCTATGGCCTTTGACCGCTACATTGCCATTTGCTACCCATTGCGCTACTCATCCATCCTAACTAACGACAAAATCATGAAAATTGGAGTGGCAATCTTATGTAGGAGTTCTTTACTAATACCTCCAGTCATCATCCGTCTGAAGTTCTTAAATTATTGCCGTCCTCACATCCTTTCTCACTCTTTCTGCCTGCACCAAGACTTAATTAGAACGGCCTGTTCAGACGTCCACTTCAACAATGTCTATGGTCTGGCCCTTGTGATCAGCAACCTGTTGTTAGATGCAGTGCTCATACTCATCTCCTACATTAGGATTTTGCATACAGTCTTAGCCATTGCATCACAGGAGGAGAGACTCAAGTCTTTGCAGACCTGTGTATCTCACATCTGTGCTGTTTTGGTTTTCTACATTCCAATCATTGGTCTGACCATGGTGCATCGCTTTGGGAAACACCTCTCACCATTGGTTCACGTCCTCATGGGTAATACCTATATCCTTTTCCCTCCCATGATGAACCCTGTTATTTATAGTATCAAGACCCAACAGATACGAAGAAGGCTCCAGAGATTGTTCTGCTTGAAAAGAGCCTAAGTTTAAATCAAAAGTTTATGTATTTAAAAGTCAGCTAGTGGAATTTAAAAATGTCAAAGTCAGTATTTAAACATAAATTTAATAACTACTATGTTAATTATAATTTACATGTTACAAATACCTTTCTTTTTATTTCTCCCAATCATCCTGTTAGTAACATTGACATGTTTAATATTGTGGTCCATTTTACAAATCTGAAAATGCATATACACTGGAATAGGAATCATATTAATGGATGAGGCAGATTAGATATTATAATCTATACCTTATTATGGACAGTTGATTGCAGATATTTTTGGTCCTACCAATTATGGCAAAAGTAAATTTTGCTAACCTCCTTCAAGTAATTACTAAGACATCTACCATGATCTTAGTTCATGTTTAATTCTAAGCGACATTCTTATTTCTTCATTGTTTGTGGTTCCTGCTAGTTTTTCCAAATGACTGTAAAGTGAAGTAAACATCATGAGGTAACTGGACTATTTAGCTCAGTCAAAAAGTAGTGAAACAAACCACAAAAAAAGGCATCTTGATGCTAGGTTGTCCACCAACCAAAAAATCTCTCTCCTATTAACAATAATTTTATAGGACATATAGACAACCAGTAATTTTCAGAGCAAAAAAAAATAGAGTTTCTGATTAGTTTGTTTATCCAAATAGTAATGCCAATTGCAGTTACCATTTGAAAATGGTTTGAATCATTTTAGACATTTACTTTGAATATGCATTCTTTATTTGTCTTACCTCATTTAAATTCCCTGACCCAGATAATAAAAATAGAACTAACTTTTACTATCACCAAGTAATGTAAATGTTTCTAATTTAATCTCCCCATCAGGACTCTTAGAAAACTATTATTTTCCATTATACAAATTGATTTTTTAAGCTCAGAAAGGCTAAATAATATGTCAAATGTTAAAAGGTAATAAGTGATTGATTTGGGTATATTTTCTGTTTGAGTTAATTTCAAATTGCATGACAGCTTTTTTTTTCTATTATCCTTCTGTATTTCTTTTTAGTATAATGTTTTTATAAAATTATACAGTCATCATAAGACAATTATATGATAAAAGTAGAAAAATTCACCCAAGTAAATTATGAATAATGATAAATTGTACATATTTGGACACTTATGGATATTTGTAAATCTTCTCAAAATGTTATTTTTGAAATGAAATGTATATAATTCAATCCATATATTAAGTCAGGTTTATTCAGTTTTATTATATGTATATTTACTGTTCAATGAGCTTTCAAAAATATGTGTAGTTATGTAACTACTACCACAATCAATATATAGGGTATTTTAATTGCTCTGAAAATTGCCTTTATGCCTTTATCCTTGCTTATGTTAATATTCTCCCACAACCCCAACATCCTGGCACCACTAATCTGATTTCTGTCATGTAGTTTTTCTTTTAAGAGAAGGGCATTGTGAATTAAATTTTAACAAATGTCTTATTTTCTGTCTGAATCCTACCACCTCTAATAATGTCTTTGAGATTAGTTGTGTTGCTACCTGTATCCATAATTTATTTTTATTGTTCACTACTTTTTCGTTGTATTATATACACCAAACTGTTTATTTAATCATCAATTGGTTAACATTTGAGTTTGAATTTGAATAAAGCTATTATCAACATGCTAGCCATATGATTATAAAGCATTTCCCTAAAATTGGTAGAGTTTAGGCCGGGCACGGTGGCTCATGCCTGTAATCCCAGCACTTTTGGAGGCCGAGGAGGGTGGATCATGAGGTCAAGAGATTGAGATCATCCAGGTCAACATCATAAAACCCCGTCTCTACTAAAAATACAAAAAATTAGCTGGGCATAGTGGCACGTGCCTGTAATCCCAGCTACTCAGGAGGCTGAGGCAGGAGAATTGCCTGAACCCAGGAGGCGGAGGTTGTGGTGAGCCGAGATCATACCATTGCACTCCAGCCTGGGTAACAAGAGCGAAAACTCCATCTCATAAATAAATAAATAAATAAATAAATAAATAAATAAATAAATAAAACTGGTAGAATTTATTTCAATGTTTATATTTTTCCCAGTAACAATACAACAACCACAACTATAGTTATAATAATGGTCTCATAAATATAATAGTTTACATTTATCAGAAGCCTCTTATCTGCCAGGCACTTTGGAAGCACTAGGTAGTGATTTTCACTTTTAATCCTTGAGAAACTCTACAGGGTGAATTTATAACAATTCAATTTTAGGTGTAAGAAAATTGGCATAAAGGGATTTTAAATAACTGGAAAATGATAGGGCAATTTGTTTTCACAGTTAGCACTTTTACCAGGGCTACTACTGTTTTATTTTATGTTCTAGTTATTCATTTTTGGTGGTGTTCATGAGGTTGTGAAAAAGAGATGCTTCTATACTGTTAGTGGAAGTGTAAATTAGTTCAGCCATGTTGAAGACAGTGTGAAGATTCCTCAAAGCCCTAAAGACAGAGATACCATTTGATCTAGCAATCCCATCACTGGGTATATACTCAAAAGAATACAAGGCATTCTATTATAAAGACACATGCATGCATATGTTTGTCACAGTACTATTCACAATAGCAAACACATGGAATAAAACTAAATACTTATCAATGATTGACTGGTTAAAGAAAATGTAGTATCTATATGTCATGGAATACTATGAAACTGGAAAATGAATGGGATCATGTCTTTGCAGGGAGATGGACAGAGCTGGAAGTCCTTATTCTCAGCAAACTAACACAGGAGAAATATTGATGTATTTTTTTTGTAATGGATTGTCCTATTGTTTTGTAAAATGGTATGGATTAATTTCCAAATGAACTGCATTTAGGTATCACTGAAAACAAAGCAATATTCAATGCCAGCAGGAAATGGGTGCCATAAGAGGATGGAAACCATAAAGCCAAAAACCAATTGTAGGATAGCCAAGGTTGAACCTTATGGAGAGCTCTAGCGAGTTTCAGTAAAGCTTGAGGAACCAAGTTAAGGAGTGAGGCAATGACACTAATGGTTTTTTTTTTCATTATCATATTGGACAAGAGACATAAAAAAACAGGTAATTCAGCAGTAGGTACAGTTCATGATGAAAGGAAGCTTCAGACAGCAATAATAGTGTTTTGTTCTGGTTTTTGTTTTGGTGTAATAAAAGTTTTAGATAAAAAATGTGTCTCTACAGGAACTCAATTTGTGTTGATTGAATATATTCATAGAAAGGCTGTGTAAGAAAACCCAGACTTTTTATTTAACTCAAAGGACATAATTTGCTCTTAAATGGGAGACTATTTCATGGGAATCCCCACTCACCACTACCTGCACACATGCTGCTGTCAGCAGTGATTGAGTTGAGAACAGTACTATGTAATTTTAAAAAAAAGTCCCTTTGTTATTATTTGAGATATATTTGAATATTTTTAACCTTGTTAAATTACACAATTTTAGTTTATCATTAAATTGTTGTTGGACTCTGAAGTAAATTAAACCATTTAAAAATACTTTTGTGTAAGTTAAGATTTCTAATTCATGCCATAAATAAATGAGAATTAGATGCACTTACATTGTCACAATAAACTCCAGAAGCTAGAACTTAATGAACTGGTTCTGAAGCCAGACTGTTTAATTTAATATTTGCCAGTGAACATTTATTAATAAGTTACTTAACCTACCTGGTCCTTGCATTTCTTCTCTGTAAAGTAAAAATGACATGAGTGCTAATCTCATGATGATCAACTGGAAAAAAAATAAAAGATATAACAACAGTGTTTGACATGGAGAGCGCATCTGTTAATTTTTGCTATAAATAAAAGTTCTTGCTATAAAAGTTAACTATAAAATTAATGAGGTGTATTGAAGCACTGGTTTTTGTTTATCTGATTGTCTATCTTTTTAATTTTTAACTTTTGTGGATACCTTGTAGGTATATATATTTATGGAGTACAGGAGATATTTCGATATATGCATGCAATATGAAATAAAGTTGTATAACAACTGCAAACTACTTTTACTGTATGATTTAAACTCAGAAGCCTAAATTTTAAAATCTCATAAATTTGATCAATGAAAATATATAAAAGTTTATGCTTGGCTCAAGGAGACAACACAGAAAAAATATAATTTTACAGATTAAATTTCAGAAAATTAAAAACACACATCTAGCAAATATCATTAATTATCATGCTTTATAAGGTAATTCTTCAAATCAAATCAACTCATAAATTGGCAGAAATATTAAACATGTTTTAATTAATGTGAACAGAGCTGACTCTTCACCTTCCTATTCTTTTTCATATTTTTCTGTTCGGTCTACCCCCATGTACTTTTTATTTCCATCCTGAATTATTTAGTCACAAAACCAGTGGTTGAAGTGCAGTAATGTAGATATCTACAGTGGTGCATATGGGCTTGGGGATTGGGTACCACCAACAGAATAGAGAAGGGTGTGGGAACCTGTGTGAGGTGGGTGTCCATCCAAGTTGTTTCCCAGCATGGAATATACAAACAAGACAGCATGCAGATGGTCACATGGGAGCACAGGTGAGGGTGTTTTCCTGTCAAAAAGGAGTCTCAATTTAATACTAATCAACAAAGTACTCATTACTGAGGAGACCCAGAACCTGAGAAGGGTGGGGAGGAAACATACATGTGGGAGGTGGTTGCCCAAAGAGGGGGGTCAGAAACTGTGAGGGGAGGAGGGTGTTCACATATAGCAAGACGGCTGCCTGGCCTGGAATGCTATAACCCAAGTACAAGTATGAAGGTATTGCAGAAATACAAAAGCTCATTCAAGGCTACTATGAACACCTTTACTAAGAAACCTGGGGGAGACGGATAAGTTCCTGGAAAGATATAATCCTCCTAGCTCAAATCAGGAAGAAGTAGATACCCTGAACAAACCTATATCAAACAATGAGATTGAAATACTAATAAAAAATTGCTAACAAAAAAAGTCCAGGACTATATGGATTCACAGCTGAAGTCTAACAGGCATTCAAAGAAGAATTGGTACCAATTCTATTGCCACTATTCCACAAGATAGAGAAAGAGGGAATCCTCCCTCCAACAATTTATGAGGTTGATTTCACTCTAATACTAAAACCAGGAAAGAACATAACAAGAAAAAGAAAATTATGGACCAATATCCCTGAGGAACAGAGATTCAAAAGTCCTTAATGAAACACTAGCTAACTGAATCCAACAACATAGCAAAATGATAAACCACCATGATCAAGTGGGCTTCAAAACAAGGATCCAGGAATGGTTTAACATATACAAGTCAGCAAATGTGATACACCACCTAACAGAACTAAAAACAAAAATCGAATGATCATCTCAATAGACACAGTAAAAGCATTTGACAAAATCCAGCATCCTTTTATGATTAAAGTCTTCAGCAAAATCAGCATACATAGGAGATACCTTAATGAAATAAAAGCCATCTACGACAAACCCACCGCCAGCATAATACTGAATGGGGAAAAGTTGAAAGCATTCCCTCTGCAAACTGGAACAAGACAAGGATGCCCACTCTCACCACTTCTATTCAACATAGTACTGAAAGTCATAGAGCAATCACACAAAAGAAAGAAATAAAAGGCATCCAAATTAGTAAAGAGGGAGTCAAACTGTTGCTCTTTGCTGATGATATGATTGTATACCTAGAAAACATTAATGACTCCTAAAAGTCTAAAAAGCTCCTTTAATTGATAAACAAATAAATTGAATATAATTGATAGATAAAAAAATTCAGGATAAAAAATTAATGTACATCAGTCAGTAGCTCTGTGATATACCAACTGCAACCAAGCTGAGAATAGAATAAAAAACTCAACTCCTGTTACAATAGCTGCAAAAAATATGTAATACTTAGGAGTATACCTAACTAAGGAGGTGAAAAATCTCTACACAGAATGCTGCTGAAAGAAATCATAGACAACACAAATGAATGGAAACACATCCCATGCTCAGGGATAGGTAGAATAAATATTGTTAAAATAACCATAATGCGAAAATTAATCTACAAATTCAATGCAATTGCCATCAAAATACCATCATCATTCTTCACAGAACTAGAAAAAAAATCCTAAAATTTATATGGAAGCAAAAAAGAGCCCACATAACCAAAGCAAGGCTAAGAAAAAAGAACAAATCTGGAGGCATCACAGTACCTGATTTCAAACTATACTATAAGGCCATAGTCACCAAAATGGCATGGTACTGTAATAAAAATAGGCACATAGACCAATAACAGAGTAGAGAACCCAGAAATAAACCCAAATACCTACAGCCAACTGATCTTCAACAAAGCAAATGAATGCATAAAGTTGGGAAGGACACCCTTTTAAACAAATGGTGTTGGAATTGGCAAGCCACATGTAGGAGAATGAAACTGAATCCTCATTTCTCACCTTATACAAAAATCAACTTAAGATGGAACAGGGACTTAAATCTAAGACCTGAAACTATAAAAATTCTAGAAGAGTAAAAAAAAAAAACTCTTCTAGATATTGGCTTAGGCAAGGATTTTATAACCAATAATCAAAAAGCAAATGCAATAAAAAGAAAGATAAGTATCTGGGACCTAATTGAATTAAAGAGCATTTGCATGGCCAAAGGAACAATCAGCAGAGTAAACAGACAACCCACAGAATGGGAGAATATCTTCACAAGCTATACATCTGACAAAGGACTAATATTCAGAATCTACAAAGACACAAGCATATTAGCAAGAAGAAATAAACTAGAGCTCCTTGAAGAAATGGTTGATTTCAAGGTTAGCCTAGGGAATTTACCAGATCAGCATGAAACATTTTATTATGTCAAAAAGCAAAGAAGTACGTAAAGAATGAGGAAAACATTTGAAACAACAAGAAAGCCAGCTTGAGGGTCTCGTACTTGCCAAATCTGGGTTCAATGGATGATCTAAAAATAATTAAGTAATAATATTAATTGATTATGCACTCACCTGTAATAGGACTGAAAATGGGATATTTATATAATTATTATAGTTGATAAAAATAAAACATCCTTTAGAAGGTCAATATTTCATTTGTTTGTTGTTATCTTTTTTACTCAATTATTTTTTTTATTTTGTTGGTCTGGGCACAATGGCTCATGCCTGTAATTTCAGCACTTTGGGAGGCTGAGGCAGGCAGATCACAAGGTCAAGAGTTCAATACCATGCTGAAACTCCATCTCTACTAAAAATATAAAAAATAGCCAGGTGTGGTGGCATGTGCTTGCAATCCCAGCTACTTGGGAGGCTGATCAAGTATAGGTTTAATGCCTTCTGTATACCAGGGATTGTCTTAGGCACTTGGAAAAGAAATAGGAAGTCAAGGATAAAACATTGAAAACAAAGAGAGAAGCTAGAACCACAGGAAAGACATAATAACCCTTGAAAATAAGAGGGAAAGTTACAACCAACACCTCTCCAGGAATAAAAGAGGAGAAATAAAAAGTGTAATGAGATTACACTAACTCATACTAACATATATGGCACTATGCCTTTCAAGAAATCTGAAACATTGCAATGTTACGATACAATGTAATAATGAGTATTCGTAAGAATGATAATGAAAGAAATGGTTTCCAATATTCAGCTTCACACACACACACACACACACACACACACACACACACAGACACAGACACACACACAAGTAGAGAATCACATTTCAAAATGGTTCACCTCAAAAATGACCCAAACCAAGTATTAGGAACAATCACTTCTAAATGTCAGCTCATCTCATGTTTGTGATGAACAGTAGGCACACAACTGTTCTCAGGTATGAAAGTGTGAATAATAAAGGACTCTAGGGTATTGAGAAAAAATAACTTTGGCGTGGCCTTGATTCCAAATAATTTGTTTTTGTGCCATCCCATGTGTCGCATATTGAAACCACAGTCTCATGAGAATATTTGGTAACCTCCCTCTGGCCGCCTTCTGTCTATGATTCTCTATTTGTTGCAATAAATAACTGTGACTGAGGCAGGGGCATCTATCAGTGGTTTCTAACATCTCATAAGAATCCATCCATTCCCTGACAATGCCAAGGAGGGTGAGACTGAAAGAGCAGAGCTGTTCTTCTGAATTCCTTTGTCAGCCCTTTCAATGGGTGCTGGCTTCACATGAGGAGGTCATACAGTATGTAAAAATAACTTCCATTTATTCCCTAAAAAAAGAGAGAAGGGGCATTTTTTAGGAGGTGCTTAGCTGCAGTTTTTCTTATACTCAAAATAAAACATCATGGAAGCTCAGAGCTTTTAGATGGGGAAGAGAAGCAAAAGATGAGAAAAGGTGACAATATAGAAGCCCAACTGAGGAGCCAAGAAAAGTTCAGGGGTTGAAATTTAACTGACAGAAGCCATAGTCCATAAGTATATATATACACAAACATAGGTGGTGTTTCTGGCTCTGGGGGAAGACTGGAGAATTTATAGATCCTAAAAGGTTTTGGGGGGAAGTTGCAACGGGGTTATACTTTGAGCAGATAAGTGTCTTTCTTTCTCTGAGAATAGTCTATGTAATATCTCTCTGGCTAGGATGAGCACTCTACCATACAGATAAAAGAAAATTCAGAATGAGGATACTGAGAAATTGAGCCAGTTGACAAATACTAAAACGTATTCTCTCTAAGATGATACACCTCTCTTTTTCTACTTTTAAGTTTAATGGCATCTGTTCTTCAGTTCTAAATGAGTCCAGTGGAAGTATGACCCCTGAAACTTGGTATACCAACTTTAAAATAGGTTCTGGATTACCGGTAAGATTTTCGTTTTTGCTAGGCATTTGCAAGCATATGCTGCAACCAAAATCTCTAAGCATTAATTTATTTGGTTGAACATAATTTGCTATGTGTCTTCTATGTCCATAGAGAGCTAGACTATCCTTACTGAAATATGTGACAGGTTCTATATTAATCTTAAAGGTAAAGTCAAATTGGGTAAGGGAAATTCAAGTAAAACACAGCTTGGAGCTAACTTGAAATC